CCGCGCCCTCTCCGCGCCTCTGCGCAGGCTGCTTCTTCCCGCAACCCGGCGCCGGAGCTCCGCGCGCCGGCCGCGCCCGCCGCAGCCTGCGAAGCCGCCTTCTCCTTCCCTCCCTCTTCCCTCGCTTTCGGGGCTGTTCCCCAGACAGCCAGAGGACAAATCTTTGCAGCCCGGCGGAGCTGAGGGCGCAGTGGTTCCCTCAAGTTCTGCCTGAGTTTTCTAGTCTCAGATTTATTTCTTAAGCTCATCCTTGCAAACGCGCCCCCGCAGGACACCGCCCCCTCCCCCGCCCCGCACAACAAGAGCGCACTCCCCAATTTCTCTTTATAACCACTAAGCAAAACAGCTGGGAAGAGGCAATCAAACATTGCTTTATCTTTATAAAATACAGAAATTGCCTACTAAAAATCCCATTTCTACTTTGAATGAAAGCCATTCAGTACAGTATAATTTTGCAGGCTAATGAGCCGGTTTTACAGGCGAGTGTTTCGTGTAATACGTTGTGGGGGGAAAAAATGAAAATGTCCTTGAAGTGACATCATTTAAAATTGACTGTCACAAATGAAAGAGGGAAAAATAAGTCATATATTCCCCAAATAAGAGGAATTTAATCCAGATTTCCTTTCCAGGAATGGGCTGTTTATTAATTTCCGGTCGAATCTTGTGTCACTAAGGGGGTCTAAATGACTGGAGTGAACCAGGATGCCCCCGTTGAAAGAGAAAGCGAAGGGCGTTTCTGTGGAACTTTCAGTATGTCTTTAAGTATGGTTAATTGCCGTGAGAGAATCAGGAGAAAGACGAGGGAAGAGGATTTTCCTTTCTTGATGCTTCCTGCTCTCTGCGAACAGTTAGTTACATGTTTACATTTAGAAGTTGTTTCTGGAAGTTCCCCTGACGGTGTTGAAAAGAACTAAAAAAAAAAAAGACACCCCGAGACCGGCTGCGGACCCATCCGGAGACCTGCTTCCTCGCTGCTTAACACTGTGTAGTCAAAAGGAAAGAGGGCAGACGAGGGGGAGTCTTTTAAATATAAACCCTCTTCCTGCTGTTCCTCCTATTGCAAGAGAAGGGAAGGGGGCGGAGAGAACCGCGCTGGCAGCCCAGCTCTGTGATTTTTCTGTGGTGAAGTCTTTGTGGAGGGGCTGGGGGGGGTTGTGGCTCTGACATCACCGCAGGTTACTTGGCAGTCAGGGCCCTTCCCAGCCAACTTCTGACCCAGAAAGCTGCGCCTCTTGCTGGCGCCCAGGCTGTGCCTATTCTCCCCATCTAGGGAACAGGCAGAGCCCAGGGCAGGCACCGGAGGCTGTGCTCTGGATGAAGACGAAAGGAGGTGGTCGCGGGACTGAGGAGGACTCAGATCCCCACCCACCCGAGACAGAAAGCTGCTTCCTGGTCCCCGGTCTGCAGTAGCACCAAAGGCAGCAAAATAGAAGTCCAGGTCTTTGGATTCTTGAATTCTGTGCTCTAACTCCATGTAAACCAACTTTACAGAGCAGTTTCCCTCAGTGCTCAGAGCTAGGAATAAGACCTGAAGGCTGCGGAAGGGTAAGCCACTGGGTCCTGCAAGCCCTGGGCTAGAGGTGTTTCCCGTCTACACATGAGCCCAGACCTCCATGTCAATCCCCAGGTTTGGTCTTCTAGAGGAAGAGGCAAGGAGCCCCCAGGGAGAGCTTCATCACTTTTTGATGAAGATCAAAATACTGCCCCTAAGGATCTGTCCTATCTCTGGTTTCTAGAGAGAATCTTGATAGGAAGATGATACTTTCCATTTGGACATTTGTGGAAAGAAGTCCAAGGAAACTTCTCCCTCCACATAGCCGCCGCTGTCACAGCTGACTGGCACTTGGTCCCGTCAGTTCATTTTACATCCTTTTAATCCTGTTCAATGCTCCAGCACCTCCACCCCCACTTTGTGCTCTAGGCAGTAGCTTTGCCTGGACACCTGTGATTCCCCCACTGCTTTCTGGGATACTCTTTCCCCATATTGTGCTGTAGCTTCATTTGTGCTTTTCTTAACAAAAATGAAAGAACTGTTTAGGCGTCATGGTTTTCCGCACTCCACTAACCTGTTGGGTGAATCTAAGTGACTCTCCTCTGCTGTGGTTCTGTCCCCTAACAAGCCATGTGATAGAAAGAGTGACATCCCACTGGACACTTCCGGATGCCAGGGTCCTGGTCTTCCCTACCTGGCAGCCCCAGTGACCAGCACAGCGGTGGACAGTGAATAAATAAGTGCCTGTTAAACACATCCGGTGACAGAGCCTACAACTTCCTCCTGCTCGCCTATGTGCTCCACCAGGAAGGATCGACGTTTCTTCATAGGATACTTTCCAGAGGAGGGAAAAGTACATCCTGAGCTCAGCAGGGTGCTGGCATGAGCACGTTATACAAGGCCAGTGAATGAATGCATGAATGAATGGCGATCTCTGGCTATTTTCATACCCAGAAAGAAAATGTATACGCTGATCTCTATGTGGTCAATGATTAAGCTTTAGTATTACGTATATAATAAGTAGTATACTTGTTTTACAATCTAGTTTTAAGTTTAAAAAGCCATCTGGATAGTATAGAAAAATCTTTGTGCATAATTGTCTATAAAAACTATAACCAGAAAGCACAACTCCTCAACTTAGCTATTAACCGAAATGGATGTCCCAACTCTGCTCTAAGCATTTGTAGGTACTGTTATCATCATTATAACTGTTCAAGTGACTCGGTTAATGCCACACCTGTAGCCACTAACTGATTTGTATCATACCCCTGTTTAATTGTAATAATGGTTAACAGCCAGGTTACACCTATTAGGAAACTCTCTAGAGTATTATTCAGCCTGGATTCAAATCCTGCCCCTCTCCCTGGATTTGAGGCCTGCAATCATTTATTTAACCACCCCGGGTTTCAATCTTCCCATCTGTAAAACAGGGATGGTGACAATAATGTTTGAAATGGATTTTGTGGAGATTGAATACGATAACACATGTGTACGGAGTTTAGCATCTTACTTAGAACACACCAAGCACAGAATAAATATTAGCCAACGTTATTATAGAAATGGGGAAGGCAGTGCAATGCTGGCATCCCACAGAAGTGAATTAGAAACTTAAGCCAAATTCACGTGAGATGTGTGCCTTACAGTTCCACCAGAGGTGCTCAGTGCAGTTTCAATCTACTCCCCTCCTTCTCTCTGATCTGTGTGAACAGGCCTGTTAATACAAGTGCACATGCCTCATTGTCCAGTTGACAGGAAAAAACATTTTGCATGCATTTTAATGAATAACATAGTTTAGGAGGTAGATTTTCATTTCCCAAAATGAGAAGATAAAGGTATTGGAATCGCAAAGGTAGCTGCAGCTTCAGCGATAACTCCAATTTGGAATGCACACATAGTATTCCTTGCATTCGCACATTACAGAAAGTGCTTTTGTGGCAAGGGATTGGTTTCAAAACTAATCTGCATGCTCCACGACAAGATAAATCATTAATAAGACAGACCCGAATCTCAGCATCTGCAGAGGCGCAGCTGGCCTCCTTGTGTCAACCCTGTGCATATGAAAGTGACTCTGCCAAGATATTTCACTTTAATGAAAAATATTTATCATGGTAAATCTTAAACCTCAACACTTTACTGACATAATTCATTTCTATTATTATGTACTGTGATAGTATTCCACAGTAGCTATGCTTATGTTTGGAATGATAAAAATGTGCATTTTTAGTCCTGTTGACTACCTTAGCATGAATAATTTTTGTTGTTCACCCTGAGCAGGGGGAATGTTGCATGCATTTATGGAAATAATAAATCAGTTATTTATCTAATTTTGCTAATAACTTTGTAGGTGCCACTGTGTGGACAAGAATGTCCAAGCCAAATAAAAAGAATTAGGCTTAAAAAAAAAAAAACAACCTGTTTTTTCTACAAGTAAGATGAGCAGCACATTACTTTTAGTGATTCTAGCTCTTTTCAACACAGACAAGTGATATGCAGACTATCATCACTTTAT